ACAAGTAAATAATTATCTAGCTTGTTGGGCAAGTTTAGGAGACTAAGATTATGATTATTATATATTGTTCAACCCCGTGACTTTGATGGATGGTTAATTAATGAATAAAAATTGATATTGTTCTTGGTATATTGAGATTGTTCTCAATTTATCGTCTCATTCGTACGCTTCCCTATATCAGTGTTTATCCATTTTGAATAAATGTTGTGGAATTTGTTCACATAATTTTGCTGACGACCGAATTTGTGCGAGCAACTTTTTTAAGATCAATGATTAATCTAGTGGGTAGGGTGAGGTACTATGGCTTAGATTTTAGTATTTGTTGAGAGACCAATTCAACATCAATAGTGGGAACTTCTATTGAACATTTTCTTCTGCCATGATATGAATGACCTGCGGACAAATCGAGCGGATCGCAAGCGCTCCAGTTAATGTTTGTCTCGAGCTCGAGTTTGAAGCAGCTCAAATCGAACTTGAGCATTTTGAATTCATGCTCAAGCTCAAGTCCAGGGCATCTACTTTGTACGCTCGATGTGCCACTCAAATTTACATAAAATCACCCAAATAAAACTTAAAAGATAGTTTTTTAATTGAAATATTTGAGCTAATCTTGAACGTTGGTGTTTAGTTGTCGAGTTGGGGCCCTCGAACAAGACATGCTTGTCAAGATAGAGCAAGTGCAGAAAATTTGAGCACGAGCAATAAAAGGTGGCCACAGGCCACCTGCCACGGCTCGGACCTGGCTCGGTCAAGCCCGTTGACCACAGGTCCGGGTCCGTCTCGAGCCTTGTTTTTTCGCTGGGTCCAGGCCGGCCCAGGAAAACCACATGCTTTTGTTTGTTTTTAAAAAAATTTCTTTTGTTTTTAAAATTTGAATGGGCCCATGGTGCGGGCCCAGCCTGCCGGGCCATGGACCCAGCACGATCTAGGTCCGTGCCGGTTTTGAATCCATGATTCCGAGCTTATTAGACACAATAAGTCTATGATCAACTCGATTCTGCTTGTTTGCAGCTCTAGTCATGAATAACATGTTCCTCAGACAAAATGTATACTTATATTATCAAATAATATTCTTTGAAAAGTATGAAATTTCTTATGATAGTGTGCATATTTGTTGAAAGAGTATATCGACCTAACTATGGGGAACTTAGTGGAACATAGCAAGTTCTTTATATTAGGTATCTCAATTCAACACTTGCTTGGTGCAATTTGTGCCCCCATTTGATCTTGTCTAGTCTAACTTGAAGGCTAATGCATCAAATCAAGTGGGAACAAAAAAGAAACATCATATGAAACAATATATAAGTTCAAACATCATGTGAAACAATATAAAAGCTCAAAGTATTCACATAATATGTTTACATAATAACTAAACCGAGCAAATCACGAAAGTAAATGGTTTTCCTAGTTATATGACTCCCTACACTTTCACAGGCCACTTCACATATACGTGCCTTTGAAGAAGTCTGCATATTTTTGTAATACTATCCATATATTAAACTACTTACTTCATAATTCTCGTTTCCACAAACCTGAATTTTTTTTGCCTTCGAGTAATTATCCCCAGAAACTCAAACCCAAGCGAAACCATCGACGAACTGCAATACAAATCATTCACAAATTTTATAGCTTTCATGTAGCTTTTATAAGATAGAAAAAGAAGTACCCAAACGGTGGATGAGGGAAACTGAATGTGCAGCCTCAACAACAAAATTACATTTTTCGTGAAAATGTCTTTTAATGCGCACGAGCAAGTTCCAGTTATTCAATCCTTGAAAATTATAGCACCATATAAACTATTATCCTTTGAAAATTACACCAGGACTTCACTGCGCTTCACAAGAACTATGCTCAGATTACCAAAAATGTTATAAACATTAATATTTTCCAACTATAAGGTATCACAAAGACTACACTTGCTTTTTCTATTTTCAAAACAGATGCCAACAATAATTTTAAAAAGATAGCTGATTTTTTTGAGACTAAACCATACTAAATACCTTCTGTAATTTAAGTGTTTCAGTGAAAACAAGTGACAAACAGACTAAAATGTATTTGTATAAACAAAATCACATTCAATTTTGTCATTTGGAATCTATTTATTAGTTCCTTACCGTGACCAACACCAAGTCCGGGAGAGGCATATGAAGGGTTATCATCAACCGGCTTAAACTCTTGGAGCTCCTTGAAATTCTCCCATAACTTTTCCCACACTTTTGCCGAATATTTCTTCTTCCGACCACCATCGGTTACCTCAAGGGTAAGATGGTACATTCTACCGGCTACCACCTGTCCTTTGGCATTCACTACCCTCACAAGCTCAAGAGCTGAGTTCTGTAAAAACACATAAAAGTACAGTTTATGATAATACTACGAACAAGAAAGACCTTTTTCTCCCCAATGCGGCTCGAACCCAATTCGTAACTCCAGAGTTACAACATTCTAACACTAGGTAATCAAGTTCTAACTACTTATCTCAATTGAATCATGTGATTATCCTCCCTGATATCAATTAGTTCAACACTTAGATAATTCCGTATATTGTGAAACCCAGAATTGCATACAGACTAAAAAGTTAGCTAATAATACGAGCTCAACGACTTGTGATTATTGTATCCAAGCAAGAGACATTTATAAAACGAGAATATATAGTTCCCGTCACCATCTATCATCTCCGGCATAATCAAATTATGAATATAAAACGAGAATAAAACAGTAAATGAAATAAATAACAGATGAAATAAATATAAATGTACCTGCTTTTCGTTGTGCCTCTTAACAGCAAATCTCGCAATACTACCAATCTCGGCACTGTTCTCAGAAAGAGCATACAGGCCACCGGTCAGCGGCTCCGTCAGCGCCACCGCCGGCTCGCCACAGAACCCGATCGCGCAAATCACGGCGACCACGGCCGAAACTAAAATGAAGGCAACAATGAAGGCAACCGTAAGTTTGTTTCTGCGGTTCACTTTCATCGTTGCTCTTCTGCAAATTTTGAGTGAAATATTATTTTCGATTTTTGTTTTTTTGTTCTGATTGCTTAGATGTTTTTGGCGTAGCGGCTAGGGATGTTTAGATGAAGATGAATTTTCCGTAGTTACATCTATTTTAGTTGGGCCATTTATTGGGCCGAATAATCGTTTATTGGGTTGTCCAGTGGTTTGGTATGGGTCTACTCGTCCGGGTTAGGTGTCTTATGAAGATCATGTATCGGGACTCGATTTTGTGTAAGAATTCGCGTTAATGGTCTTGGTTCGAACACGACAAAATGTGTAAACCCGCACTAGCGGCCTTGATTTGCACAATAACAAATGAAAAACTTGTACTGTCAGCGTCGTTTTTCATGAAGAAAGTGCTCGGATACGAGCTTTTTTTATAAACTTTATTTCATAAAACTTGATTCCTCAAACATACATACGAAGGTACTATTTATAATACACAAAAAACAACATTCAAATTTAAAAACTTAAACCTACAACTAACTAACCAACATATTTAAAATTTATAAAGAAACTAATATAATTTATCTAAAGTAATCCTATCTAAATTAACCTAATTAATTTTATGTGCATGAAAATCCACTTCCAAGTCTTCATTCCCGATCCGTTCATGATTATCCTTGTCTTCAAAGATTGGAGTATGTGGCTCATACACTTTCTCTTCAACACTCTCGGACATTATTTGGGACTACTCATCTTCAACTTCGGCTTCCTCAGCGTCTTCGAGATGATTATCGAAGATTGTGGATCGTCGTAATTAGTCGAGGCTTGATCGTCCTCTTTAAATAGGACTCGTTCGTTTCGTCCTCTTCGATGTACTCGCTGAAAATTGCTGGCCATCATAAGCCACGGTGATTCACTTTTTTTTTTTTTTTTAGCACCTAAACAAACTTTTCCTGGCTGGTTATCACTTCTCGTCAAGCATTTTTTTTTTCAACCATCAACTCACGCACAACCACTCAAAAACCAAAAAGATTTCTCTTTTTTTTTTTTTTTCTTTATATTGCTGAACATGGACTCACACATATACTCAAGAAATCAAGGTTTTTTTTTTTTTAAATCTCTAAAAAATTCAAAAGAAAGAAAAACTAAAAAGTTAAAAGGAAGATACACAATCAACACTCTCAATAAAAGCACAAATGATGAATATCGTGTATTAGGACTCGATTTTGTATAAAAACCCGCGCTAACGACCTTAGTGCGAACACGATAAAATGTGTAACCCGTACCGATGGCCTTGATTTACGCAATAATAAGTGAAAAACCTACACCATCGGCCTCGGTTTTTCACGAAGAAAGTACTCGAATACGAGCCTTTTTTTAAATTTTATTTCATAAAACTTGATTCCTCAAACATGCATACAAAGGTCCTATTATAATACACAAAAACAACGTTCAAATTTAAAAATTCAAAACTATAACTAACTAACTAACATATTTAAGATTTAAAAAGAAACCAACATAATCTATCTAATTTATCCTAATTAATTCTATGTGCATGAAAATCCACTTCAAAGTCCGCATCCGTCTATTTTGCTGTCTTTATTAGCCACAGCCCACCATGCTAGCCTTAGAGGCCCCACAAAATATAAATTAGCTGTAGAAGCCCAAAAA